AGGGCGGTGGGTGGGTAAAAAAAAGCCCCCCCCCCGGGGGAAAGGAAAAAAGGTAAAAATTTGTTTTCCCCCCCCAAATTTTCCGGGTTTTGGGGCCGGGAGGGGGGGGGGATCCCATTTTTCAAGCCGGTTTTCCCCAAGGGTCCCAAACCCCAGGGAACCGCTTCCCTCCCTCCTTTGGGCCCCCTCCCCCCTTTTACAAAAATCCGCCCAAAAGTGGGGGTTTTTTGGATTAAAAAAAAGAAAAAAAGGGGGGTGGGTTTTTTTTTTGGGGGACATTGCCCCCCCCCCCCCCCCCTCCTGCATAGGTACAGGTACTGACAGGCACTGCATAGGTAACGTTTTGAACGTACAACACACTGTGAACGCCATTGAACGCGGCATTCATTCTGCGTTCCTCGACATAACTCCTTTGGACCTCCACGAGAAGCGAGCGGCATGGGGCGGCCAGAAAGCTGAGCAATACCATCAACAGCAACAGCAACAATAGCAACAACAACAACACCAACACCAACAACAACAACAGCCACCGCAACAGCAGTAACAACAACAATGGCAGCAATGACGAAGACAACAACAACAACAACAACAACAGCCACCGCAACAGCAGTAACAACAACAATGGCAGCAATGACGAAGACAACAACAACAACAACGACGGCAGCAACAACAACAACCGTAACAATGCTGTTGTAGCAACACAAGCAACAACAACAACAAAACCAACAACCGAAACAACACTTAGCAACATACACAACCAACTAGCACTCTTTTCTCACCTGCACGACGTAAGGCGCAACGTCCATGTCGGTGCCCTCCACGAAACTCCTATGCACCCCAATGAGGAAAGGCATCGGAGCCGCTAGAACTCCCAGCAATGCCTCGGGCAACACGGGGATGTACACGTGGCTCCAGCTCAAGGGGTACAGCACTAGGGACAGCACCTGCAGGGAGGAGGGGGGGGGGGAGACAGAGAGTGGTCTTGAGCTACTACGACATCCTCTCGTGTATCGCACATGCACAGACCTCGAGCTACAGCATCTTTTGTGGATGGAGAAGACAGGCATCTCTCGAGCAAGTACCGTAAGAGTCGGAGAGATGGCACCCCCGTGTTAGCGTTTTTGTACAGCTTATTTCTCCACAGCTAGGGGGGCACCACGGCCGAAAAGGGTAGTTTTGGAAACATCTCGTCGAGGGCTTTCCTGAGAGGTATCGGTTGGTGTTCGCACCCTCCTATAACAGTTGTGGAGAAATACGCTACAAAAAAACGCTCACACGGGGGTGCCATCTCTCCGATTCTTACGGTACAACGTCTCTTGTGTGTCCAAGAGACAGGGATCTTGAGCTACATAATCTCTCAATGTATCAAACAACCCGGGATCCTGAGGTCCACATATTTTGTGTAAACAAAGACGCAAGCATCTCGAGCTCCCACATATCTTGTGCAGCAAAGCACATCAAGACCAGTGGCGGGGAGAATAGCGGACGGCCTCGGGATAAGTTACCTTACCACGTCGACAACCGCAATGCACATCCGAAAAAACAACAAAGTGCACGTCGTACTGTACCTTTTTAGATGTTTGTTCTTCCAAAATGTGTGTCTTCCACCATGTATCGATGTACACCCAAAATATATATGTCAGGCGAGAGAGCGATAGGTTGGTTCGCTTTTGTCTCTCTGCAGGTAGCTTGCTACAAGCGCCGTAGGCCCAACAGTAAGGGGTGATCAAGAGACACGAACTATAAATTGCTCAACCTTGTAAATCTCCGCCTCGACCTCTTGGTTAATACTTGCATCTTTACACGCTACCCTGTCACGGGTGATAAAGCGACGGACGGTACTATTGTAGCAACGTTATTGTAACAATACTCGCCTCAGCACAGGGCGTGAGTAGGCTGAGCTGTGAGCTTTTGAGCACGATGGACCTGCGGCGTGAGAACAGCGGCAGCGCGGCAGCCGCAGCAGCGGCAAGGGCAACGACATGGCCGAAATAGCAACAAGGAAGTTCATAATTATTGGAAAGCGTGCATGTGTCCTTTCTGGGTAGTTGGCTTGTGGCCATGGAAGTCGTACGGGTGTTAACAGGTACTGAGCAGAGACCGGAACGGTTTGCAATACGAAAACAACAACGACAACAACATCATCATCATCAACAACGACAACGACAACAAAAATAGCAACAGACAGCAACGGCAACAGCAACAGCAGCAGCAACAACAACAACAATAACAACAACAACAGCAACAACAGCAACGACAACAACAACAACAGCAGCAACAACAACAGCAACAACAGCAACGACAACAACAATAGCGAAAGACGACCGCACCTCTCTAGCAAAAGGCACGTTAGGAGGATGACGATGTTCTCGTGGCTGAGGCACTGGAAGAGCGGCTCGAAGGGGACCGAGCCCCACGCCACCGGCTTGTTGGGCGGGGGGCACGCGAACGTGATTGTCGTGTTGCCCATGTTGTACAGCACCTTCGAGGGGAGAACGAGGCGCGCGGAGGGAGGCATGAGGGAGGCGTCACCTAAAAAAGGAGACATGACCGAATAGTGCCGATGCACGCGAGTGTACAGAGGGGGTAGACAGCAACAAGAGCGCTGCGATTCCTCCAAAGGTTAACAACAACAACAGCAACAACGACAACGACAACAACGGCAGCAACAACAAACAGCAACAGCAACAGCACCAGCAGCAACGACGACAACAAACAACAACTGTGGGTCACTCCACGACACTCACCTCAACCCTACCGGGCGAAGGCGTCGGAACTTCCAGCAGAAAGTTTCCGACGTACCTCTCCAAAGGTATCTGGAAAGGAGACAGCGATATCCGATAGAGGTTGAGGAGCCACTCCCGGAACGGCCCGAAGTAGGGCCATGTCGACAGCAGGCAGAGGCACTTCGGGGCGTAAACCTCACGTCCGGGGTCCAAGGTGGTCTGGCAAGCAAGACGTGACATAGAAAGGGAAGGAAGACACGGATAAGGAAATGAAAAAGCGATCACAAAAGCCACCATGGGGGTGGGGGGCACCGTGAAGGAAAAAGGAAGGCCGGCAGCTGGTCGAAAGCACATCGGTAGCTGGAACCGCGGTCATGGTACCAAAGCACAAAAATAGTAGGATTTCGGCACGGAATTGTGTAGACAACGGTGGCGCTTCGGGCAAGAGGAGGACTAGGTTGGTGCACGCCCTTACATGACGTGCTTCTAGGCACATGTCTGTAATGTACATCGCATACATGCAATCACCCCGTCACCATTCCAAAGGGTGTATGTAAGGTAAGATGTGACTCCGCCTTCGGTCCTTGAGAACAACGTGGATTAAACCTTGCGAACATATCAGGAGCTCGCAAGGGTCACATCTGCTTAGGAGAAAACTCATTTGTTCATTTCCTACACACCCTGGCTGATGCCGGGTGCTCATACGTAACTGCTTAAGAGACACTTCTTTTAGGTATTTTCCTACACACCCTGGCTCATGCCGGGTGCTCATAAGGATCACGCCTTCTCACATTTCGACATTTACTTCTACATGTACATGATGTTTGAACGGCCTTAGCGACTACAAAGGGGCTCCGTTTGTACCCCCCACGGGGGGGGGGGGGGGGGTAGTCCTCCTCCTCCTCTTACTCTTACTGCCATGCTTCCGGTCGCTCAAACAACGTCTCAGCGCTACTCGCAACAATTTCTTTCTACTGAACCTGTGCAAACTCTTTACTCGCAATATCACTTCTACTGAACCAGTGAACACTCTGTCACAAAGGGATTTATGTTCCAAAAGCTGTGATACACCCTTTCTTGGGAGCAACGCACACGTGTGCGGCGGAACCTACCAGGGGTTCCGTGGCATCGTTCTCCCCCCCCTCCGCCCGCGAAGCGGCCTTGTTGTGGGCGTCCACCAGCCCCTGCAGTTCTATCCGATGTCGCGTTCCCAACGGCTGAGATGGGGTTAGGTTGTCACGGGAGGGCATTGAACACACGGCGAGAAATGACGGGGGTGGTTGACTCACGGGCAGTCATTTCCAGCAGTGCCAGTCTAGATGTTATATAGCGAGGCGGTCTGATGACCCGTCTTTGTTTCTCTTCTTTTGTGTCTGAAATATCTACAAAGTACATTGCACCACCATGTTCCATGTTTTGAAGAGAGAGAGAGAGAGAGAGAGAGAGAGAGAGAGAGAGCCCGATACGCATGCGTAGGACGAGCTTGTGGTATGTACAGTAGGAGGGACGAGAGTGCCGAGGGGACTATCATTGGGCATCATACAGCAGTGATTGGGGGTGGACAACACCAAAGTCGATCGATCACCCCAGCTCGGCTCCGACGTTTCGATACACCTACATAGAGAGGGTAGGACACCACTACAAACACCCCATCTCAGCAGACAAGACAACAGCTACCGTTTGATGTCTTGATATGCGTTGGTCCTTCCTCGACTTACGCCGCACGTACGGATTCTCACACGACCACCAAAAAACAAAATACGGTGTGTGTATGCACATGTGTCCGCATGTGTCCGCATGCCGCACAGTACTCGTTAGACCATATAGACCTCGCACCCCTACAATGCCGCGTCAAATGAGCGACTTGTACGCCTGCCCAGGCTAGGTCTCACAAGGAAGACCCCAAAAGCTGGTCACCATCCGGGGGGGGGGGGGGGCACACAAATTCTCGTCACCTCGTGCAGGCAGAGGCAGTACCCGAACATGTGCTGGCCGTTAGCCCTGGTGTGGACGAAGGTGAAGAACGTGGGCAGGGTCATCTCGAGGCTCAGCTTGAGCCCGCCGGGCAGGCAGAACAGCGGGAGGTTAGTCGGAAAGGCGCACCCGTTCCCCTCGTGGTCGTACCCGGGAAACCTGTGCAGCACCCTCGCCCGAAACCGTGTGTGAAGGGGCCCGCTCATCCCCCCCGGTCGAGCGTGAATCTTTCCCAGCTCGCAGCTACCGTACGTCCGTCGCTTGACAAGGTTTGGCCGCACGAAGGGGGTGGGGTGGGGCGCAGACTCTGCGGTGCCGCCCTGCTGCGGGACGCCTTCCGCCAGCCGCCCCGTTGTCGTAGTTGTTGTTTCCCTGTCGGTGCTGCTGCTGTCGCTGCTGCCGCCGTCGCTGCTGCTGCTGCTGCCGCCGTGGCTGTTTAACCCTACGGTCGAGGCCGTGCCGTTGCTCTTGGTTGTGTCGGTGTTCTTGTCGAGGCTACTACCACCGCCGATCCCTCCGCCCTTCATCGCCGGCGTCGCAGCAGCAGCAGCAGCAGCAGCAGCAGCAGCAGCAGCAGCGCCGCCTGAGCCCCCAGAGTTCACCTCTCCCCCCGCATGGTCCCCGACAACAGCCCCATCCCCATCCCCGTTCTTCTTCTTGTCTGCTGCTGCTGGTACCGTTGAGCTTCTCCCCGGCGAGGGGGGAGATTCGTTTGGAAGAGGGTCCGACAACAGCAGCGGCCCGTCGTGTAGTCCCACTACCGCGAAGTACTCGTTCAGCCGGGCGTTTCTTTCGAAATGAGGGGGGGAATTGGGGGGCGGGGGGGGCGGGGGGGGGGGGGAAACCGAATNNAGGGTGCAGACGGTAATTGAGCCTGGGCGCCGAATTACCGCTGTTTTGTTTGCTCGGTGCATTTAAGTACTGCTGTAGCTCTTTTTAACGGCTCACATCGGATCTGCGAATTTCTTCAAACGTCACATGTGCGAGCGGAGTGCCGTTGTGTGTAATGTGGCCATCGAGGTACCGTAGGATTGCACGAGATATATACCACTCACACACCTGGTTGGCTGCTGTGGCATCATCCTCTTGATCGTCGGGGAGCAATCGAGCTTTCAAAATGGATGCAGCCGGTGAGGTACAAGTATGGTTGGTTGTGGTTGTGGTTGGTACCGTATGCGATCCAGGGATGGCATCTACTGGTAGTAGTTTAGTTAATCGCCACGCATCAGGAAAGATGGGGCAATGTATTCGACCGCTAAGGGCCGGTCTTAACGAAGGAATCGGTTCCCGATTTCACTTCCCGATTTGATTATAAGACCACAAGACCCAAAGAACTCTCTTGTTGATTGGCTAAAAGTTCTGGAACCCGTGGAATCTTTAGGACTTATAATCGGATCCCCCCTCTCCAAATCGGGAATAAAAAAAAAGGTAAAATGATTTAATCGGATCCCGATTTGGGTGAAACGAAACCAACTTCGAACATTAGCGGTCCAGTCGACGGCAAGTGACGCACTGACGCAAAGAAAGTAGTGCCGTGGCAAGGCGCCACGCCAAGCCGCGACACCAATCCAGCACGGAGTGCGCACAGGCACACCCACGGTGGGGCACCTTGTTGCGCAAGAGCAGTAGAGGAAGAATGTCCTATTCGCAAGGCGGGGGGCGTGACCAGGAGCATCACCAGCATCTGGTCCCGAAAAAAAACGTGTGTGGGATGTATGTGTTGGTCTGTGGGGCAATCTCCCGTGGGTTGTCGAACTTCAAATGCACAGACGAATTGGCGGCTTTCCGTCGGACGAGGGTCGATTCAAAGTGTCACATGCATAGACATCGTGTCAGTACCACACAGAGGCCATGTACGCGTTTGGTGTGTGCTTCTCGGGAGCGATAGCTCCCCATGTGGTGTGGCCACGTCATAGCAGTACGTCACAACAGCAATCTGGCAGTTGGCAAGCGGCGGACCTCTCGGGTTGTTCGTGGTGGACTGCAGAGATTCATTTCCATTTGGCAGATCTCCCGTTAAGACACACAGGCCATTTCTGTCCGGATTTGGGTAGATCCGACTTTTGTATTCTTATAATCAAATTCGAAATCGAGAACCGATTCCTTCGTTAAGACCGGCCCTAACGCACCGCGGCCATGGTTTTCTGCATACCACATGGGTGGCGTGGTTGATTCTGAAAGGGAAAAAAATTACCAACACACACGCATAACACCAAGGCAAGAAAGAAAGAAACGTGAAGAGAGATCCGCTGTTTGGTTGAAGTCTTATATTTCGTTGTCTCCGTTGGTCTCCATTTCGGACAGAATATGTACGAATCTTGTCGGGTGGATATGCATACATATATACTCCCTCTGACCGGAATTATAAGGTCGATTTGGACACCTTGCAAACAATATCACGCTGGACGAACAATGAGAAGGTCAAGAGTTCGATTCTCACCTCGAACGAGTTCGATTCTCACCTCGAACATCTGTTTTTTTCTTCCAAAAAACACTTTTTTTTGTTTGTTTTTTGTCCTTCATGCTATTTTTTTACTTCAAAGGTCCGATCTTTTGGCATCCTTTAGGTTCGTCTCCGGTCAAAAGGGAGATTTTTATTTTTTTTCTCAAAATGCCAGTCTGTAGCACGCTCTATATAGCCAAGATTACACACTAAAAAACAGACCGAAAAAAACTTTTCCTCGCTTCGAAATCGAGAAAAAAAAAACACATTTCTTTCCTTACAGCAAAAATCTGGAAAGACCCGTCCTGAAAAGAAAACAATCAATGGGAGGGGACGAACAATCACCATCCCCGGTTTTAGGCCATTTCTTTGACGATACTACCAATGAGAGCACGTTAAAAACAAAATGGTGCAAGAAGACGTGTTCTAACGCCTTCAACCAAAAACCGACCTTATATTACCGGATTTCCAAATCGGCCTTATATTTCCGGTCAGGGAGTATATATTTTTCTCTAAATATTCTTCGGAACGTGACGTCTAGAGAGCGGAGAGATGTGCTGTATTGTTTTCAAACGAAAGCGCATCAAGTCTAAGGAAATCTCTCTACCTTTTCGAAGAGAATGGTGGTCTCCAAGTCGACGAAACATGTGCAGCAGTACGAATCTTTTACTGCTGCTGTTGATCGACACTGGTTGCCTCCATGTCGGACGGAACACGTTGTTGTTGTCTTCACATTAAAAACCGTTCCGGTCTCCACTCAGTACCTTCTAATGTCCGTACTGGTCCGGCTGACGCATACGCCGTCCGTGGTCACAAGCCAACTGCTCTCCATAGGGGGGGGAGTACACTTTTCTAAAAAAAAAGAAATAAAAGTGGACGCCAGAAAATTCCTCCAAGGCGCGATTTACATGTACGGATATTTTTCTCTTGGTCGACACCGGTGGTCTCCATGTCGGACGAAACGTGCACGAATAATGTTCTTTTCGCCGACACTGGTGGTCTCCATGTCGGAGGGTATTTTCAGTAATAGTACGAATCTCGTCGGAATGATAGCGTTCGGAACGGAATGTGGCGTCCAGACGCATTCATTCCGGAGTCGACCCGCCGTGGCGAGAAACTTCTGCTTCATATTTCATCCGCATATCGGGCTAAGCCCCTGCACGTATATATTAAATGCACGCTGTACTGCTGCGTCTTGTTGGCACCTACACGTACCTCACATTCAACCTATAAATAGTGTTTGACCTATGCATATCTATCTCATACTGCATAAACAACAACAGGTGAAGTTTGACGTATGTATGGGGTATTATACATATGGTGCCCAAAGCGGGGTGCAGAAATTGTGTGGAAAAAGGGTGGCAAAGCAGCGATGCGGGAGCTGAACCTGTAAGGACTTCCTTCCTGCTTCCCGAAAGTAGATGTTTTACAACCCCCCCTGGGGGATATATCCCCGCCACCAACTATCAACGAACAGCCCACCGGCACAGGGGGTGATCATTACCTTGCTTCGCCTTGTTCCAACCCTCTCTTTTTCTGTGCCAGATGGACTTGTCTCTGCTTGCGTTGTGAAGTACCAAGATTGAACCAAGGGAGTGTGCCTCTTTCTCTCCGGCCCATGATAGATAGTGACTGCTAATCTCAGTTGATACCCCGCGTAGCGTGAAGAGGGAGCGGAGGATCCCAGAATATCTGTCGTTGATTTCTATTGACTTGCGGACCCCTCGGGGCCAGTTTATTTGAGTGTACCTTTTTAGGGTAAGTTAACCTGTGACCACGGGAATCGACCGCGTCAAGTGTTGGATCAGTACGGACATACGAAGGTACTGGGTAGAGAGAGATCGGAACGGTTTTTAATGTGAAGACAACAACAACAACAACAACAACAACCCATCGGGCTTAAAAAAACCGACATTCATTTTTTGCCCCCAACCATGGACAACTTCAACAAAAGGAGGCAGAGCGCCAACCTCAATGTCACCCCGCTGTCTGTGTCCATGTGGCATCGCCGTCATCACCTTCATCGTCCCCGACAGCGGACCAGCACAACAACGACAGCATCGGGTGTTCTCTCCGTGGCATTTTCTATTTTCTTGACTCGAGAACAACCAGTACGCTGATATGTACCGCTGTGCATGCCGTCGTTTGGCTTTAATAAGTGGAGATCCACGGAGAAAGGCTTTGGATATAATTGTACCTGGTCACGCGTTTTCTTGCAGGTCCTACTGCTGTAGTAGCAAGCAAACCGTTCAAAAATAACCCGTCCGGTCATGTTCGTTCGGTGTTGTTGCAACCAACCGACGACGACCCGACGACCGTCCGCTTTCGGCGCAGAGCAAGAAGCGCTTCACCACAGGCTAGAACAGGGGTATAATACTAAGCAAGATTCCCGTGGTTACACGCTTTGATCCTCTTGGATCACGAGGTCCACACCCGACACGGCTGAAGGACTGGATCATGATGCGCTGCTGCTGCCGGCTGCTCCGCACTAGCATCGCTCAACATCAACCACCAGGGGGAAGGAAGGGGCGGCGGAACTAAATACTGCTGCGGTAGCTACTGCTGCTGCACCAGCACCTCCGGGAAAGCAATTTGTCCATCCAAATTCGAGCGCGTTACCACGACTCAAAGGACGTAGCTGTGTGTGTTCGACATGGCAATGGCACGCGGCAGTTGATACTGCTCTACTTGTACGTGTTATGCATACAACGCGAGGTAAGATCAGGTCAGGTACGCCATGAAGGTGTTGTAGGACCGCTATGT